GAGAGTAAAATGCTTTTGGATTCGTCATCTAGAGGAGCCTTTGTATCGTTGTCACCTGTAGACGCAGAAGCATTGAGCGAACGAATTTCTTCTAACACATCCTTCTGGTACAATCGAAGAGACACCCAAGGAGGCCTGTACGAAGTTTCTGGTAAAGTAGCTCAAGATGCGAAAGTGGAGGCCATGGGCCATGAAATTAAGAAGCTGCAAAGTATGTTACAAAAGATGGAAGTTAAAGTCAACCGTGTATGACCTTGGCTCTGTATTGCAATATATGCGGAGGGGCACATGACACAACGGTTTGCACTTCACCAAGAGAATCAGAAAATGTGGACGCAATAGCTTATGCTTAGGGGCAGAGAGGAAATTCACACTTGGAATCTTGATTCAAGACTTATTCAACCATTTCTTTTCATTTCTTTTTGCGATTACCCCACGTGTGGCTACTTTTAGCCATACGATTTCTTTCTTCGATATCTGTGTCGAAAGTTGATGCACACCCGATCTAAAGGAAGACAAGGACTGATACCTTTAAATCCGGAAATTCAAAGACCTCTTAGAGGAAATTTAAGGACCAATCCAAATCCAAGAATGAGAAGCGACATGGCATCCTCAAGTGCGGTCAACAACCAAAACATGAATGAAATACCAAGACCAAGAGTGCATCTTGGAATGCAATGTGATATATGTTACGGGGTACGAAAATTATTTTCCTCAACCAAAGCATGATATATCTATTTATTTGAAGCATGAATCAATCTTGGAATATTGATAAGTGTTGAGCATGACCCATGATCTATATTATGACTTAGCTTACTTTATGTGAGTTCATAAATATAACACGAGCATGCCTAATTTGTTGAAGTACATGGGCAATATCATGAAATGAATTGCATTTCTCATAATGTGATGTCTAATGACTATGTGAATTCTATGCCTATGTGTTTTGATGAGATCCGGTTGAGAATTCCCGGAAGTGTGTATTAATGTGATATGATGAAACCCAATGGAACACTCCCAGAAATGTTGTGAAATGTTATGTTGAAATGAGACCCGGTGGAACACTCTGAAAATGTTGTGAAATGTTATGATGAGACCCGATGGAACACTCCCGGAATTATGTTGTGATGAGTATTGTTATTGTATATGTATATCTATATACTCGTGAACCTATTTGAAGTATATCTATGACTTGATTAGCTAACGTGTTATGTGTAAAACAAACCATTTTTCAATCTATATCTATTTTATGGGGTGGAGTGGTTTATACTTAGCATTCGTGCTAATGGGTTGTTTTCGTATGTTTACTTAACCCCTTTCAGGTTTGACAGTTGATTGCTGAGAGCGTTAGACGGAGCTAGATGTATAGAGTTTTGGGTTTCTAGTTTCTAGTTCCTAGTTTTTTAAATCCTTGTTTTCTACCTTGATGCTAGACTCATATAGTTTACTTACTTTATCTTTGTGTTTTGTAGTGCTTGACACTTAGGCCTGTGAGCCTTTATTTCTAGTTTGAGCTTAGACTCTGGTTATTGTATGGGTTATGTAGGCCCCTTATGAATGAATGGCAATGTTATGATTAGCTAGTTCTCTCCGTGTAGTTACTCTATTGAGGGTAGCTACGGAGTAGCATCCCTTTTGGTTGTATATTTGGGTAATTTGATATTTACCCCTTTCTCTATTCCACAATCTTTACCCTTTAAGGGTGTTTAATACTAGGCTCAAGTGTTTGAAAATTGGGGGTGTTACGCTAGACCTTGCCAAAATGATTTGCGATTTGCCTAAAATGTAGCCAGCAACAGCTCCACCGAGCCAGTATGATGCTAAAAATGGGGAAGGAAGTTCCACCCCTCGTAGTCCAGCTCCTTTGCTTTTAATTCAACCTTACAGGGCGAGAAGTAGCAGTGCAAGAAGGACTTCCTCCAGAGTCACTATGACCATTGATGCGGAAGGAAAGGAAGTTCCATATTAGCGCTACAATGATGGAAGTGGTGACAAATTCAGAGGCTACAATATTCCACCTTCCATGGAGAATTGGAGCAAGCTGCGAAAGCAAGAGTATTTATACTCAATGAATAAGAAGATTGAGTAGCAGTAGTGATAAATGCCAATGATACCACCTTTTATGGGTCATTAAGGGGTTGTGTTGTGCTTAGTTGAAGTCAATTGTGAATGATTTATGGTGTAAATTCTATGAAATGTGCTAATGTGTTGCAAATGCCCATAAACATGTACGCTTTAGTGTTTTGAAGGGTTTTTGAGCTTAAAGTAAGGCATATGGCTTGAACTGGAGTGAACCGGGGAAGAATGCAATGGAAAAAGGCACCAAGCACCCATTCCACGTTCGTGGACCGTCGTGGATCGGAAACAGAGACTTCCACGAAGCAGATTCACTCTCATGGTCGAGAATAAGTGAAATCTAGGTGTGTACGCAGGGGCGTATGTGTGTACACCTGTGCGTACGCGCACCAGATTTCAAGGATAAAATGGGAGCTTTGGCGGGATTGTAGAATACACTTATAATCTAATTAACTTTCATTTTTGTGTAATTTTAGAGTTTTGTAGATTAGATATTTCTCTTTCTAGGTTAGATCATCTTCTAGATCAAGTTGTTCTCAATTCTTCATCCAAGCAAGAGTATCTTCAAGGATTGAAAGAAGAATTGACAACTCTACCTCCATGTATTGATTGTTCTCTTGATTGTGGAGTAATCTAGTGGATTGTAGCAATTTAGCTTGGTAATCTCCTGCAATTTTCTCTTCAATTCCATCTTGTATTTGTATTACCTTCAATTCCATCTTGTATTTGTATTACCTTGCTTGATTGTGTTTATATTGCAATCTAGACAATGCTTGGCTAGAATCTCTATGTGAATTGGATCCTATTTCGTTGTGTTGTGTATGGATTGATCAAGATAGTTTTGGCTATGTGTTGATGTCTTGTTGTGATGGGAGTTTGTATGGACTCTTGTGTGTGAGTGCACCACATACATGAAGGTTTGAGTAGGATTATGCTAACAAGAGATTGTAGTTTAATCCTAAGACTTGTCCCCCTTGCAATTCCCTTCTTTAAGTTCCGAGAGGCCGAAGATTGGAATGAGATGTAGACAACATGTTTGATGAAATGTTCATAAGGAGCGTAGTCACTTAAAGGAGTGTAGACAACCGAATTACCCGCTGGTCCATAGACTTTTTGAAAATAGTTTTCCCTCCAACGGAACTATTTTTCTCCAGCATATAAATAGCATCTTCATCAACTGAAGAAGGAGTTAGTCTTTTAAGAAATTTAAGTGTGGTAAAGCTTTCAAAGTTCTCAAGTTTTGTGACCGGTGATCTAAGAGAAGAGAGACAAAATCTTCAAAGTTTACATCTAGTATTCGAGGAAGTCTTGTGCTGCTTCAATTGCGATAATCAAGATCTATTCAAGCCAAGACATCCAATTGGAGTAGAAGAAACCCAATTTCTTCAACCTTTGTAAACTCTACTCAGAGAAGTAGAAAGAGGAAGAGTAAACTCTATAGGAGTTGAAAAACCTGGGTTCAAAGTTCACGTCCGGCTTTGTGTACAAGGAGTGACTTTGGTGGTGTTTTGTACTAAGGGATTTAGTGCAAACCTTCACTTATTCTGAAGAATAGTGGAGTAGGCCTCATTAATAGCCGAACCACTATAAAACCCTTCTCTCTCTCTCTCTTCCTCCCCCCCCGTCCCCCTCCCCTCTCTCTCTCTCTCTCTCTCTCTCTCTCTCTCTCTCTCTCTCTCTCTCTCTCTCTCTCTCTCTCTCTCTCTCTCTCTCTCTCTTTTACTGCTTTATTTTGCATCTTTATTTTGCATATTATTCAAGATCAGACCAAACATTTTACAAGCAAACCAAACGTGCAAAGAACGTTTAAAAGGATTAAAACATTTGCTTCCGCAACACATTTAAAATCTGAACGTTTTGTTAAGCTTACCCCTTGGATAGACTTAGCCTTCGCGAAGTTTTTATCAAAAACTCAGCGAGTCTATTCACTCCCTCCCTCTAGACTCGCTCCTAACCCTTATCTGGTCCAACAACGCTTCCACAGCAAAGCCCCCACAACGTGAGGCTTCGCAATAGTGGAATAACATATATAAATCTATGATAAAAAAAAAATACTCCGTAACACTTAAAACTGGAAAAAGAAAATCTCATAATAAACATCATTTAGAACCAACATGAAATATTAGAACCAACAAAAGAATATTTAAAAAAAATAAAAATAAAAATGATATGTCACATATTAATCTAGAACTTAGAATGGAATTAACTATTTCCTTCCTTATCAATTTATTCTTTTAACTCCTTTCAAATCACTTGAATAATTTAGTGAACATTGGGAGATAAGCATTGTATTTGAATCTAATTGTCAAAGCAAATATATATAAATATTACCAATTTCGTTGTTAGTATGATAATAATTTACTCTTTAAATTCTCAAATTTCACAATATAATGAGATAAAACTAGTAACATATGACTACATATATGAAAATATCATAACAATAGATGCTCTAAAAGTAGAAATAAAATCTAAAAATGTCGGCATAATAAAAAAAATTAAGTCAATTAAATATGTGATGAAACATAAAAACGTTGCAGTATAAATCTTAAATAAATCAGCAGATAAAGTGTTAGGCAGGTAGTGGGAAAATGTTGAATGCAGCGCGGGATAGTCCGAAATGTAGTTGTCAGTTTCCTAATTAATAGGGCGGTATAGTCAACCCAATCCGCATGCATACTCATAATAAAGTTACGATGTTTAGAATCAAATCCCAACCGTCCATCCCCACTTTCCCTTCATTCTCACTACTTCCCAGCTTCCCTCTCCTCAACTAACTCTGCCATTTATTGCTTTCCCATTTCTATGTCCCGATTCTTCCGGATTCAATTTCGACCCGATTCTTTCCTCGCTTTGGAAGCTTGAAACGCGGAGATTCTGACACTATAACCACTTCAGATTTGGTTTCCCTTTAATTTGTTCCTGGAATGGGATCGAAGCAAGAGGCCGAAGAAGCAATGAATACGGAGGCCGGTTCCTCCGCTGCTTTCCGCCGTAAACCCGCCGATGCACGGAAGAGGACGACGGTGTGTTTGGTTGTTGGAGCTGTGATTCTCTTACTGATCATAATCATCATTATACTAGCTTTCACTGTTTTCAAAGCCAAAAAGCCTGTAATCACCGTCGATTCCGTTTCACTCGCCGATTTAGATCTCTCTTTCGACATACTCCGACTCGCCGTCCGCCTCAATCTCACCCTCGACGCCGACGTCTCCGTCAAGAACCCTAACCACGTCGGCTTCAAATACCACAACAGCTCCGTCCTGCTCAAGTACAGGGGATTGGACGTCGGCGACGCGCCCATCCTCGCCGGCAAGATCGGGGCCCGCCAGACCGTCCCCATGAACATCTCCCTCACTATCATGGCAGATCGTCTTCTTTCCAATAATCAGCTCTTCTCCGACGTCCGCGCCGGCACGATTCCGCTGACTACCTTCACGAGAATCTCCGGTACAGTTCGAATCTTGTTTAATATTCACGTGAAATCGGAAACCAGTTGCGATTTATTGATTAATGTCGCCAGTAGGAGTGTTGCTAATCAAACCTGTCACTACAAGACTAAATTATAGATACTGCTACTTTGATTTGTTTTGTTACCTTCGTCGTCGATTACAGAGTTGTAGACTGGTAGTGATTTATATATAGTATTTGTCATTTTCATCGATTAGAGATGCACTATGTAGAATGTAAGTAGTACACAGAACCAGTATTTTCATTGATTGATGATAGTATAAGTCCCCAGTTAAATTATATTGGAAATCTACCTCTTTCATCTTCTAGTTTGTCTTGTTCTTCTGTCATGAGCTTGGGGCTTGGTTTGATTCCATTTGTCTGTGTGTTTAAATTATTTTTTTTTTGTGGGCAAAAACTTGTGTTACCGGGTATCACATATGATGGATCGGGTCAAAATGAAATATAATATTTATACTGAAATTATTTTCATATTAAATCAGGAATAAAAATAGTTATTACTTATACATAAAATATAATATTTATGAAGAAAATATGTAATACTTTTATATTTTGATTTAAAAATATTACATTTGTCTTTATAAGTAACAAATACTTGCCATTGTTGTCAACATTACTTAAAAAGAGAAATTGTAATATTTTTTATGGAAAAAGTAATACTTTTACATCAAAATGCAAAGGTATTACATTTGTTTTCAAAAGTATTATGTTTTCCTAAGTAACAAACACTTTATTCCTAATCAGTATTACAAATTTTTTAGTATAAATATTAAATTTTCATATTGATTCAACCCGTCTCACAGGCATTGATTCGTGAGACGGTCTCACACAAGTGTGACCCATTTTTGTGTTCCTTTTTTCTTTTAACCAAATGATGAGAAAACCAACTCACTCAAGTTTAACAACAAACAGTATCTATTTATTTTATTACCACCTACAGGAAGAAACTCTGATGTAAAGCCCCATTGATTCAAACATTGAATTTTACCCCAAAATGGTTCATGTTCCATATTTATTGAATATTTAAGAATTATTAAGACTACTGTTGAATCTATAAATTTAGTAATTTTCAGTTGCTATCCATTATTGTGAATATTCTTTGTTGAATCTGATTTTATGCTTATCCCAAGCTTTTTCAAGATCCAAATATGGTATCCTTGCTGAACCCACTTGTAACAGCTCTGTTGGTTCTTAGCATGGTAGGAAATTTTAGATATCATTATTATTCACAGATGTTCTGCAACCCCATAAACAACCTAAACGGCGCTTGGTAGCCACCAGTTAGTTTGTTATTGATGGCTGAATCATTTGGAAGTTTTGCAAGAATGCTGGGATCTCGACTTTTCCTGAAATCCTATGTATGCTAAGAATTGCAGGATTGTATCAAATTTGTTGAGTTTTTGTCTTGTATTTGTCTAAATCTTTTTATTTTGGCGTGGGCTAGGTAGGTAACTTTATATTCTGCAACACATTTATCCTTGCTCTGACTTCACACTTGAAGTCCTGTTCTCTGGTTTCCTTGGAAGAATTTGGTACTATGATTCAGCATGGTGTCTTGCCAAAGTTTCATTTAGAAACAAAGCCTGCCTGGCAGTTCCTACAGTGGATTGAAATACTATGGGTAGTGATTCAGCAGTATTAAAAACGTGATGGGAAGTTGTAATGAGTTGAGTTACATAATTATTTTGCATTTCTGACGTTACTGACTAGTATTAATTAGTAGAATACTACAACGGTCATTTGCCATTGTGCTTCATCATACATTCATATGTATGAGCTGTATGTTTGTCCAACCATCGTGCTCCATCATATGTATGAGCTGTATGTTTGTCCAACCAATTAAATATGCAAACATGAAATTTGTAACAACTCACAAGAGATCAAAGATTGATCGAGTCTTACTAGCAAGGTTGCAAAAAACGTTAGGCGTTCACTAGGCGTCGATTTCTTTATTTTTTATTTTTATTTATTTTTTTTATTTTAAAAAAAAAATTAAACTAAAAATTTTAAAATTCAATAGTAAAACATTAGATTCCTCTCATTTTTTCTTACAAATTATTTACGTAAGTGGTTGTAAAATCATTTTGAATATTGTTGAAACCATCTAAGACATAAAGTTATGCATTGCCAAAATTACGGACAATCGAGTTCAAAATTATGCCTTGCAAAAGTTTCTACACTTTTCAACAAAATAAAAAATAAAAAATAAATAAATAAATCAGCCGGTTCAGTCGGCTAGGCGGTCCAGACGGCCGCCTAGACGCGATTTTTGCAACACTGCTTACTAGTAACAGAGCGAGACCAGGCTCCCTGTGCATAGTGAGTAAAAGAGGTGTGTGGGTTCTCACCTATTATCACAATTCACAAGTAAATCATGAAAATGTTGAAGAAAATAGCAAACTATTCACTACCAATATCATGGTGATACAAGTAAACCATGAAAATGTCGAAGAAAATAGCACCAGCAATAATATCATTCCTTTTCTCAAATAGAAATGAATGCAATCCCAAGTTATATTGTACAGAGCCAGATGCCAGCAAATATGCCGCTAGTATATTATATGAAGGATAAAACTAAATAGGTTAATGCTGTATGGATTGAGTCAAGTATATGCAACTCAATTTATTGCAGAGAAGGCATGCATTCATCATCTTCATCATGTTCATGGTGCAATCAGAACTCAAGCTTTTTGCACAAGTCCCTGTCAATGCTTATGACTTTCCTTGCAGTCTTCCTGGGAGCAGCAGGGCAAGTTTCAGCAATTCCAGTTAAGAGCGGTAGAGAAGAAGGCGGTGGAGAAGAAGGCGTGCTACCTCCATCAGAATCAGAATCAGAATCAGAAACTTGATTCGGGATCCCAGCAAGAAACTCTTCAGTATGTTTCGAAACAACAATTCGCAGCAGCATTCTGTACAACCTTCCCATCAGCAGTTCATCACTGGTCATAGCATCCACACTAAAATAATTCTCAGTACAGCCTTCGAAATTCAGCACACGGATACAGTCTTCGAAATTCAGCATACGGGCAACTCCAGTCTTTTTCAGACAAAGAGGCGCCCGGAGAAGCTCTTCGGGTCCAGGAGCAAAAGGATCAAAGACACTCTCTTTCGGAGTGCGGGGACTGTCACCGCCATTTGAGGGAAGGATGCCATCCTGAGAACTGAAGGAAACAGCCTTGGGAGGGCAAGAAATTGGGGACACAAAAGCAAGTGCATACTCCCCAGTCTCCTGCTTGAGATCAGGAGTTGCAGGAACTATGGAATCAGCTGGCTTTTTGGCCAATTTAAGCATCTCACCAGCAGCAGCTTCATCAGTGGTAACAGAATTACCAAGATTCAATTTTTCAAGGTTTTGCCCCTTGCTTGACACATTGCTGTTAGCCTCAGCATCCATAGTAACAATTCTTAACAACAGATAGCTGCCAGCAACCATATATGGAAAGAAAAAAAAAACAATAATTGAAACCCTAAACATATGTAATTTGGGGAAAATGACAATTAAGGAAATCCCAAAAGCAAAGTCAAAAAAGTATAGGGGAAATTGGAAATTTCGACTTTCAAGTAAAGAAATAAACTAAAAGAAAAAATAAATAAAAACACAAACACAGAGTCAGATAACCCACTAGACTGCAACAATTACGATGAGAACATTAGGCATCAATCACCAAAAAAAAAAAAAAAACTAAAAAAAAAAAAAAATTAAACAATTTCCTTTATTTCAAAAACTGATCTAATTTCGAAGATTAATAATCTGGTAATTTTTCTCCTCAAAAAAATAATCTGGTAATTTTGATTTATATTTTAAGATATACTTCAATCAAAATTATGAGTTATCGGTTTAGAAATAAGTAAAATTAATTAAAGAATAATGATTTTAAGTAAAAAATTAATCAGAGTATCAGATTAACAATCAAAACGATAAACATGACAGATTAAATTAAAAAAGGGAGTAACAACAACAAAACAAAGCTGCTCAAGTGTTCTACTAAATTTTATCACTAAAATAGGGGAAAAAATTAAAAATCGTACTTCAGTAAACACAGGAAATGCAGCCAGGCAGAATGGATTAGCGGTTTCCTTTATATAGAGTGAGGCTAAGCTTTTAACCAAAAAAAAAAAAAAAGAAAAAAAAAACGGGGTAAAAAAATTAAAGAACCTACGCAGAACGAATGCTAACAGACAAAAATGGAGGCGGTTCCCTTATATAGAGTGATTCAAAGCTTTTGTGTGAAAAATGAGGAAATTCATAGAAGCTACGAAGAAAGAAACAGAAGGAGTATACCTTTCGCCGCCGATATAATTAACAGTGATCAGAAAGCACCGCGACGGAGACGCTCGCTCCGATCGAAGCACGGTGGCGGCAGATGAGGAGGTGGTGGTGGAGAGGTTTGGGGGGAAATGGGAAAATGGAGGAGGGAAATGCTGAGCTTAAGCGAGGGAATAAAAATTGTTTTCC